AGACTCCATCTCAAAAAAAAAAAAAAAAAAAAAAAAAACAGAAAAAAAAAAAAAAAAAAAAAGAAAAAAGAAAAAAAGGACTAGGGAGGTAGGTGGGAGGGAGTAGGGTCAGCTCCGAGAGGAGGGTGGACTTTCTTTTGCTAGTTCTGCAGGGTTCATGTGGGGTGACCAGGGCCTCCCAGGGCAGCAGCAGCAGGGAAGAAAGTCAAGTCAGAGCGATCTGAGGCTTAGGAGATGCCCCCTCCCCACCCACACCCCTTGTCCCTTGCATGCTACCAGGCACTAGTCCTGTGCTGCAAAGGGAGAGCAGGTCTCGGCCTTCGCCACTGTGCTGTGGGCGGGGGGTCCACCCGGGTGGGGGCTGCCCCTGCGCTCCTGTTGCCGCAGGACCTTTCTTCCGGGCCTTGAACTCGCATCTCTCCAGCAAGGCCCCAGCGATCTCAGGGAGCCCGAGCCTGGGCCTGGACGTGGGCTATGTGGTGTGGCCATAGTCTGAGGCCCTGTCTGGGGGTGGGGCCGCTATTCCGACGCCCCAGTAATGGCCCAGAACTGCTCAGGCAGGCGTAGCTTCCTAATGGACATTAATGGCCCCGCAAGCATAACCGGACCGCGCCTAGGGCCTCTCCCTTCAGACTGCACCGCGCCTCCCTTTAGATTCCGAAGCTGGAGCAGGAGGGACGAGCGCGACAGGAGAAGGTGACCAACAGAGACCCAGACGCGAGAGGCAGAGAGAAGCGGGGGGCTACGACGACCCAAGAGAAAGGAGGTCGAGGAAACCACCGCCTCGGACGGGGCGGCCCCGCCCACCTACTGTGGTCCCGCCCACTGCGGCTTTAGCCCCGCCCGTTGTTGGGGGCGTGGGTCGGGGGGCTGCTTCCCGGAACCATGGCCACGCAGCGCCATCTGGCAGGAACTGCTGGCATTGCATCGTCCGAGGAGTTGCCCCAGGTCCCCCGCCCCTCTGACTTCCTTTCGATCCAGTCCTGCGGGGTGGGAACTGGAGTGAGGCTGGCGCCCTAGGGCTGGGGCGCTACAGAGGAATAAGGGTGTGGAGTGGGGGAGGCAGAGGAGCCCCTAGTCGGTTTTGCCTCCTCATCTTGGACCTGACAAGCACTAGGGAATATCGCTGAAACCCCTCAAAAGCAGCGCTTTGAGCATCTTGGCCTGTGCAAGGAGAGGCCAGAGCTGAAGCAGCCTCAGGAAGGATATTTAACCCAGCCTGTGGTCCTGGAGTCATCCTTCAGGGAGAGAGCGCCCATGCTGTCCTGGAACCTGCAGTCTGCAGCAGGTGGTGGGGACGAGGAGGGAGTAGTGGAAGGGGTGGTGACAGCAGACGGGGCTCACTTTGCCAGAACACTAGTATTGTCCCATAGGCAGTGCGGAGCCCTTGAGGCGTGGTGTGGGGGGTGACAAGGTCAGGACATCCATGTTCTTAGAGGTCAGGTTTGGTGAGGAACAGGGGCAGGAGTGGGAAGGAATGAGCTCACAGGGAGGAGAATGGGTCGCCCTGTGGGGTGTGTGACCACCTTTTCACCCAGCACAGAGCCTGAGGGAGGGCTAGATGGAACCAAGGGATCCATAAGAATTGGCTGGTGCGCCAGGTACTGTGGCTCACGCCTGCAATCTCAGCACTTTAGGAGGCCGAGATGGGCGGATCACCTGAGGTCAGGATTTCAAGACCAGCTTGGCCCACACGCTGAAACCCCATCTCTACTAAAAAAACACAAAAATTAGCTGGGCATGGTGGCAGGCACCTGTAATCTCAGCTACTGGGGAGGCTGAAGCAGTAGAGTCGTCTGAGCCAGGGAGGCAGAGAGGCAGAGGTTGCACTGAGCTGAGATAGTGCTACTCCAGGCTGCAAGACAGAGCAAGACTCCATCTCAAAAAAAAAAAAAAAAAAAAGAACTGGGGGTGTGGGGATAAAAAGAGCACCCACATTTGGGAGAAGGACACACCTCGGAGATGGAAAGGCCCTACCAGTGAGGGGGCGGGGCTTCCAGAAGCGGAGGTGGGGAGCTAGTTCCACGGGGCATCCTGAAGCCAGGTCCGGGACCACCCCTCCCTCAGTCTTTGCTGAGAGAACCCTGCCAGATGGCCACGGGAGGGCTCCAAGGGTGGGCTAGATCAGGGCAAGTGATCTCGGTGGTTTGGGGTCCAGGACGGTCCTTGGTGTCCCAAGCCAGATTAGAGAGGGTTGAAAAGGGAGTGGGAGGGAGGAGGGGCCCAGATCTTGGGAGGGGAGGTAGAGGGGGCAAGGGTGAAGGGAGGCCCTCGATGTTCAAAATGGCAGGGCACATTTATGTGGGGGGCTGGAGCCAGTGACCAGAAGTGCATGCAGAAGGTGACAAGATGGGCCGGGCGCGGTGGCTCAAGCCTGTAATCCCAGCACTGTGGGAGGCCGAGGCGGGTGGAACACGAGGTCAAGAGATCGAGACCATCCTGGTCAACACGGTGAAACCCCGTCTC